CCCCCCCCCCCCCCCCCCCCCCCTAATTTTCTCAATTTTTTTTGCTTTATATTAAACATGTATTTCTTGAAATAAAATTTAAGCATATTTAATTATTTCTACTTTAATATTGTGTTCTGGAGATATTGATTTAAATAGACTCATACCTAAATGATTGTTGATGGTGCCAAACTGATGTGAATGAATAGAGTGCGTGAGACCAATGATGAAGTTAGGCTGCCAACTTCTTAATGACAGTGATGATGTGTTTTTTAGGGGATAGAGGAATTTGCACAGTTGGAATATAGTGGTTCACCGGCTCTAGAGTTTGGCTAATCCACTCTAAAAAAGATGTTCTTGTTCATTTTCTTCTTTATTTATTATTTGAATATAATGCAAGACAGTGCACAATTCGATTAGGGTTTTTTTTTTCTCTCTCTCGATGAGGCGTTACATAGTTTTTATAAGGCTGCTCCCTATTCCGTGGGATTTCGGTTGAGATCTTTGCCATTATTCATGGGATCCTTTTTGATTTTAGGAGAGAATCTTGGTTGGTTGAGACTTTCATGCATGGGGCCCAATTTTCGCAGTCATTCAACTGTTTCTTGGTCAGTTCAACTACGATCTCCCCAAGGGGAGCTCCACCCCTGGTTCTCTGAGTTCCTCGTGCCTTTCTTGATCTCCTGACCTGAGCTCACAGCTATGGCTTGTTTGAGGTATCATCAGTTGTCCCCCAGCCCCTGATTCAAGCGGGCTTGGGCAGGGGTTGAACTATTTTTTAAACCGAGCAGGATCTACACGTGGCTGACCTTGGCCTGCATGTGAGTTAGGCATTTTTGACGGTTTTTAGCAATTATGGCTTCCTCGTTTTCCATGCACATTTTAGTCCACGTTTCTCACGCTTTAAATGCTCAAACGGCTATCTGAACCGCCATATTCCACTGTTCGACTTCTCTGCTGTTTTTCTCTTCTTGCGATTTCTTGGCTTTCTGGTTTGGAATTCTCTAATTCCTCGTATAAGATCGAGTTCTGTGGGTTCGATTTGAAGATTCGCATTGCTCTTTTTCTTCCATTTCGTGTTAGGCTGCTGTTTGTTGCTCTTTCCCACCTAGGTACGCCCTTTTGTCCTTTTTTCATCTTTCCTCATTCTGAATCCCTCGAATTTGAGGTGGTCATTGCATTTCTGGGCCTTTCGGTTCTTTTACTTTTGGAATCGAAATTACTGCTTGTCTCATCTCCCCCACTTCGTGGACTGGTCTTCTATCGTGCGAATCCTTGTTGTTGGAAGCTACTGCGCTGACCCTAGGGTTATTAGGGAGTACTTAATCAGTATTCCTTTTCTCTACCATTTTTTTAGTTTACATTTTTCCTGTCCAGTCATGTCTATTTCTTCTAGAGTTACAGGCTCCTCTGCTTCTCTCTTGGGGGAAAGGTCTGTCAAAGAAGACACTGATTTAGGGGATGTAGGCGAGAAAATCGATAATTTTTCCGGTGTGGATGCTGTCGATGCCAAGAAAAATACTGAGGAACCATCTCCATCGTCTTCTTCTCTTCCCCCTAATCCTAACAAAGGTAAGGGCAAGGTGAGTGGGATAGGAGTCTTTGACAGCGGAGCAGGCACAGGGGCCGCCTTTAGGCATGCTGAGCTCGTAGGACCTAGTGAGGTTGACTCTTCTCATATGAGAATTCTCAGTGCTCGTTACAGTTTTTCTCCTTGTATCCAGTTAAATACACCCCATACGTTGCCCAAGTTCACAAGAGAGTATGTTTTTTTGCGGCCGCTTTTGAGAATGACCTTCGCTTTCCTATGCATCCCTTCATCAAGAGTGTTTTGTAACATTTCAATGTCTGCCCTGCTCAACTCTCATCTAATTTCTAAGGTGTACTTGTGGGTCTTCTTATTTTATTCAAGATTCATGGACTCGGGGTCTCCAGTCTTTCCTTGCTTGTGGATCTTTTTAATATCAAGCTCACCTCATCAAAGGGTTTCTTATATATCTCAAAGCGAACCACGGCTAGACAGATCATTACTCACCTCCCGAGCTCCCATAAGGGTTGGAAGAAACAATTTTTTTTTTTTGGGGCACCAACTAGGAGTATAACCCTACTGACAGGATTGATACTCTGGGTATCCCTAGAACTTGGTCCGCACTTGATAACTTAGGTGAGCCCTTGCTTGAACTGATTAAGCTTTGGTTTGGGAATCGTTGAGTCGCCTTTTTGACCTCTGCTCTCCTTGTGTTGCTTTTTCAGGCATTCAACCAGAGCTCAGTGCTGAGGACGATAGGATAAAGCGAAAGTAAGAGAAGTGCAATCCAGAGAAGTACTCCGAGCTCATCAAGCTCTGGGTCTTAGTAACACAGGGATTCAGTCCTCCTGAGGGATCGATAGAAGCTCCGCTCCCTATCTCAGTTGTTAGGCTTGAAGACATATAAGATAACACTTTCTGAGTTGGTTCCTTTACCTTCCCTTCTTTTTCCTCTCTCTTGTTTAACTTGATCGGTCCAGATCTTCCAGGCTCCTCCATAATGAAATCTACATCTGAGGAACTCCAGGCTAAAGTTGACCTACTGAAGAAGAGTAGGAAAAGTGGCAAACGGAAGGTCGATACCAGCTCTGGAAGCAGCCCCGTTGACAGGGCTAAAGTGTAGAAATTGGGAGTGTCGTCTTCTCCTGCCTTGAGCAAGGGAGGACAAACTCCCCTCATCTCAATCCCTGGCCTCTTCTCCTCTTAAAGGGGCCCAGTTTACCCCTCGAATGACTTTCGAGCCAGGGTTGGCTTCCCCCACCTCTTCTGAGGTTGAGGGAGCATTAAGGCTGATTACTGGAATCAAGCCAAATTTTGCACCCCCCAGACCGCCTAAGCAACCATCCCAGCTGCCTCTCCGGAGTCCCAAAGTCGAAAGGAGGAAGGACCAGGAGACTGATGAAGATTTCTTCTTCGACAATGCTGAGTTGGCTGCTAGAGCCATTTCATCTATTCTCCCTGAATTCGATATTCAGAGGGCCTCGACCATGTCTCCTNACAGTCGAGGGCTGTTATTGCTTGAGATGGATGAGGAGTATCAAGGGAATGTTGAGGCTACTTGGTCTGGAGTCTTATGGATGATGACTTTTTGCTNTTGAGGCCTCTTTCTGCTCAGCTCTCCAGGGAGCAGCTACTGTAAGTATTTTCACACTCGCTCTTAGCTCGGCGCGGTTGAATTGTACTGATCTATGTTTGTTTCCTCTTTTTTTTTTTTTGTTCACAAATGACTCTTTACTTGAAGAACTTGATGGGCAGGGTTCGATCTTCGGAGGACTCTGCCAAAGCTTTGAAGATATACGAGTTTAAGGTCACTGAGCTGACCTTTGACAATAAGAGTTTTAGAGCTCAGGTNATCTGATTCTTGATCTTTTCTGTTTTTGAAAATCTTAAAGTAGAGCCCACCCCAAAAAGAGCATTGGATGGTGGATTTGACATTCCTCACAATGACAAGAGGTTTACTGAATTTGGGAAAGATAGTAAACAACTTGATGTTGAGATCCATCACAAGTACATCTTTGGAGGCCATGTTGCTGCATGCATAGGAATTTTGTTAGAAGAAGAGCCTTTCTGGAAGTTTAACCCGAGGTCTAC